ATATATATATATATATATATATATCGTAGATTTTTCACAAGCTTCAAAATTTTCACTTAATTAAAAGATCCTTAGGACTTTAATTGAATTATATTTTAGACTTGGCTCCTCACGTCAGATTGTAAATTCTTCACATTCTACATGACTCGAATTCAGAATTGGAATTAAAGATAATTAATATTAAAAATCCTCAAATTGAAGCTCTTTATCCAATTATAAAATTGGATCCTTATATATCGAGTTTCCTAGATCTTAGCCGTTTAAAACCTAGATACATTAAAACTCGTGTTCGTTACATCTTGCCGTCCTAGGTTTTTCAACCTAGGTACGTCCTATCAATAGTGCGTACGCCGTATATCTATAAGAAATAATAATAATAATAATCTTCTCCAGTAAGATAAAAGTTCTCAAAGTATATAGCGTTTCCCTATACAAGTATTTTAAAAATGCCGGTGGAATATTCAGAACGTAATAAATCTACACGTCCTTTAACAACGCAACTGACTATCTACCTTACGGATACACGGCTCTTAATAAAAATGAACAAGGCAAAGCAGAAAAAAGAAAAACAAGTTGGAAAAGTAAAAAGGCGTGAACGTCAAACGACAAACAGATCTCTGCAAAACAGCAATCAGAAGGGCGTAACGATCGCCGTCGCTTCGCCTCTGCTCGACGGCAAAGAGGCGCACTCGTGCCACTTGTTCGTGTGCGGGTCGTAACACTCGACGGTGGAGATTGTGATCTGTGTGCGGTAGAAATTGATCTCCTGCGACTGGTCGCCGCCTATGACGTACAGCCGACTGTCGGCCGCCGCAACTGCCGGATAAAATCTGCCCATGCTCATGGGAGCGACGATGCTCCATTTGTTCTGAAATATCACGGCGTTTGTTGACGAGTTGAGAACATGTTGACGTGTGTTGATATACATATTTATTTCGTATCATCGATTCCGTGAACATGCCGATATAAATGATGGAAAAAATAAATCATACCTTCTCGAAAGAGTATCTTTCGACCGATGTCAAGACCTCCTGATTTTTACTGGTGCCGCCAACGACGTACAAGTATCCGTCGAGAATCGTGATTCCCATTTGCGAGCGCGGTGTGATCATCGGGGCCAGATACGTCCATTCTCTGGTCACGGGATTGTAGCTCATCACATCCTGACGGTGCCGACTATTATGGGTACAGCCACCCACGATGTAAATTAGTCCTACAGAGATTTCTCGAGTAAGAGTTGAAATACGACATCTCGTTACAGGCGCGCGCGCGCGCGTGTGTGTGTGTGTGTAAATAGTATATGGAACATACAGAAATAAAAGCGTGACTGTGTATATTAAAGAAAAGAAGAGATCTACAGATTTACGTGTCAAACGACTATCGCGTGTAATATTCGTGGTTTTCGGCGTCGGAGTCACGTACCTTCGTATGCCACGACTCCCATACTGAATCGTGGCTCCGGAAGGTAGCCTTCGAGAGTCCATGTATTGGTGATCGGATCGTATATCTCGATAGAGCCGCCAATATCCTCGCCCACCCATCCGCCGAACGCATACAAGCTGTTATCCAAGGCACAAAGACCGAAATCGCATCTGGGTTCTTCCATACAAGCGATGGGGGTCCATATGTTGTCACGAGGATCGTAGCACTCGCAGTTAGCGATTATACAGGATTCCAGCTCACCGCCGATAACGTATACCTTACCGTCCAACAGAGCCACTCCAGGTAGAATGCGTCCTATGCTGATTGGAGCGACTTCGCTCCATTCTCTAGAGAAACGTTCATTCGTCGATCAAAAAAAAGGACAACTTTGTTCTAGTTATCTAACAAGAGTTATCCACAAAAAAAAACATGTTTTAATGGAGAAAAATACTTTTATATAAAACGTAAAACCCCGCGCGCAGAAAGAAAGAAATAAAGTACACGAAAACTTTTACGAGAAAGAGCAAGAATAACGCTTAAATATAATAAAACATACTTTTACATTTCCAAGATATAATTCAAGTAACTAAGAAACTTGTTCGCGTGCGTTTCATCTCAACAGCCAAGAACTGAAAAAGGAAAGATGTCGCCGGAGATTGTACCCGGTGAATATGTCGTATTTCTCGATGGTTTCGTAAGTACTCTCGGCGGTTCTGCCCCAGCTGTCCGAGGAGTGTTCCCGTTTGGATCCGCCGATCACCAAAATGTTCTTCCTGGCGCAGATCCGGGGCTGGGCGTGAAGAGGCACCAGGCAACCTTTGTTCGAGACTAGATCCTTTTGTATAGATCGCAGCGCGACGATGAGACTCGCGTCCTTGCACTCTAGGATAATTCGCTCTAGCTTTGCTAATGAACACAGTCGCAAGCGTACGTGGCTGAGGATCTCGAATACGTAGCATCTCCGCGCGGGGATGTCGTAAACGATCCAATTGTACGCGGCCTGGAAGACCTGCAAAAAGTAAAGACGACGTCATCACGTTATACATGTCATACGCAACTAAGTGCAACGAGCAGGCCACGCACTCGGATTATTTACGTCCTTGGAAAATAACAAACCTGGCATTCTGTATCGATGTGAATGTAATCGCTACTAAGAAACTGAACAAGATGCTCCTTGGGCAAATCCAGAAATTCTTCCTCCTGACAGACTTGTGGAAAATTGGCTTCTATAAAGCGTAGGGCAGTCTCCAAAAGATCCAGTCTGTTGTGTACTTCTGCAAATCTACACGTAGCAGCAATGACAAATCATCGTGATTTTAGTTTCGAAACGGTTTTTTTTCCCATGTTTCCTGGGAGCAACGATAATATAATTTATTCTTGGAAAGATACCGGAAAGTCTAATAATATAAAAAAAGTGAAAAAGAAAAAAGAAAGCATCTTTCTTTCACATTTCAATTAGATTTGTTTAATTATACACTGTTATAAAGTTGTCATTGTAGTTTGAATTATACGTACGCGTACAGCTGTTTAATTTAATTTTTATTTAAATTATTTGGTTTAAATATTTATTAATATTTTACAAACTTTTGCTAATAATTTGCGATCAAGAACATTCTAGGCAACGTCTTCTCTCGTTTATATCTCTCGTATAATTTTCTCGTCACAACGGCTTTTCATTGAATTTTCTTTCTGTTCTCTGAATATTTCACGTTCAGTTCTTACCAGTCTTCTCTTACCTGTAAATTCCAAGGGCATTAGAATAGTGCAGCTGCTGTTTGAGATAATTGATGCAGCCAGCTACTACATCGTCCAACTCTAGCATATCAGCGGCAGCGAATAACTCCTGCACATTATCCTGCGTGATGTCTACGTTGCCGCTGTAGATGAAATCCACCAACTGAGAGAGAATGTGAGGGGAGATTGAGTGGATCTCCACGAGCTCCTGTTGCTCCTCGACCAGGCCGACGGTGAACATGGCATTGAAGTAGGCGCTACCGGCGGCAAGGACCGATCTGTGCGCCCTGATGATCCTATTACCCGCCACCAATCCCACATCGCTGAACTTGTTCTCCCGCCTCTGCGCATTGAGATTGCGTAGAAGCTTTGGGGGATAGTGACCCACCGCGTATACGACGCTGGACACATCGGATGATTGCTTCACCGGTTGCGTAGCAAAGTCCATATTAGACGTGTGGCCATTTTTCAGGGTAGGTGCCACACCATCCGCCATGAAACCATCAAGATGTGCTTTATCCACAGATCCTGTACAAGTGTAGATTTGTCATAAGAAAAACGGCGCTACGTCATGTAAGCCATAGCACAATAGTGTTTTGGCAGACACTAGCTTGCTTCAACGCAATGTTAGATATAAAAATCAAAACATTTGCTGTGTACATACATGTAAAAGATTCAATAGTAAACATGAAGATTACACAAGTTGCAATAATCTTGATAAATTTAAAAAAATTTATCAATGTAACATACATCATATATAAATATAATAATTTATTGCTCTGGTTCGTACATATAAATCATAATATGATGACAAGTCTGCGCAAGGGCGCACAGTTGACCCAAAAGTTCTTACTGGATAATTTTTGTTTTCTGAGAAATATATCAATGCATTTCAGGATACCCTTCCAAGCATGTATGACGCATTCTTGTCTTGTTTATATTCCGGGAAAATAAATATTACAACTGAATAGATAAGACATTGCGTGCCTGACGTTTCAAGGATTTATTAAAAACGTATATAAACACACATATTTTTATTTTAAGAAAAAAAATAGATAAAGTAATGTGAGCTCTCCAACACTTGCCAGACTTTTGATAGAAGAAGACACGTGTGACATTTTTGCCAACAAAGTGTCTCGCAATCGTCAAGTCGTTCCAACGATTCGAGCAGGCGATTTAATTTTATTACAAAGATCGTTTCGCGAAATACTCACGGCATAAACGAGAAAGCACCCTGTAGACGCCGTGGAACGATTTTGTGTTATTTTTCCCCTTTAAACGCATCACTACCACCGCATGTTTGACCGATGCGTCAATCGATCCCGCGGACAGATCGCTCCTGGAAACGTAGCGAGAGACGACTCCTGCTCGCTCGGATTAAATAATAAATTTCGTTGACGAGAAACGAGAAGCTTGACATATACGTCAGATAACTGAGATAACCTAATCAAGTACGTGAAACTAGAAACTAGCCGAGCCAGCCGAGAGGTGGGAACGGCGCCACTGGCGCCAGTGCAGCCGCAAGGAAAAAGATCCCCGTCCGATCCTCTCCCCACAGCCCCACAACCTCTATGGCCTAGTTTACACCGATCACTTGATACGCGTATTAAATGGTAAATAACTAGTAAATAAGTCTGATTATTGGCCTAGTTTACACCGATCTTTTGATACGCGTATCAAATAGTATATTTGAACTGATCAGCCAATAATCAGACTTATTTATTAGTTATTTACTATTTGATACGCGTATCGTATCAAGAGATCGGTGTAAACTAGGCCTATGAAGTTGGCCGGACAACTTCAACGTATCGAACTTTCATTAATTGGAATCGATTGGTGGTCGTTTGGTGGTCTTTGGTAGTCTAATCCGATCGTTTGGTAGTTAGTCGTTTTCCTGTAAAATAAAAATGAAATTTCCGGTGTGAAGTTAGCCGGACAATTTTTCTTTTTCAACCAATTTAACTTTTTTATAGCTCATTCGACGCGGAATCGTTTGGTGGTCACGAATATCATCGTAAAACGTTTGGTAGTCAACCGTTTTCCCAGAAAATAAAAAAAATCGTATGCGCATAATGCTGGACATATCACCACTGTGCCATTAGCCGGAAAAATTGTATTTATCACCCAAATTGACTTTCATAGAGCTCAATCGACGCGAAATCGTTTGGTGGTCACGAATATTGTCATTAAAACGTTTGGTGGTCAATCGTTTTCCTAAGAAATAGATAAAACCGTACTCTTACGCCATTGGTCGCATGACTCCGTGACGTTAGCTCGGTAATTTGATGGATAAACATTATTTATCAATCAAATTGACTTTCATACGGCTCAATCGACGCGGAATCGTTTGGTGGTCACGAATATCGTAATTAAAACGTTTGGTGGTCAATGGTTTTCCTAAGAAATAGAAAAAACCGTACTCTCACGCCATTGGTCGCATGACCTCCGTGACGTTAGCTCGGTAATTTGATTAATAGACATTATTTATCAATCAAATTGACTTTCATACGGCTCAATCGACGCGGAATCGTTTGGTGGTCACGAATATCGTAATTAAAACGTTTGGTGGTCAATAGTTTTTCTAAGAAATAGAAAAAACCGTGCGCTTACGCCATTGGTCGTATGACTCCGTGCCATTAGCGATTGACCACCAAACGTTTTAATGACAATATTCGTGACCACCAAACGATTCCGCGTCGATTGAGCCCTATCAAAGTCAATTTGGGTGATAAATACAATTTTTCCGACTAATGGCACAGGAGGTGATATGTCCGGCATTATGCGCATACGGTTTTTTCTATTTTCTGGGAAAATGGTTGACCACCAAACGTTTTACTGATTATATTCGTGACCACCAAACAATTCCGCGTCGATTGAGCTGTATGAAAGTTAATTTAATTGATAAATAATGTTTATTCATCAAATTACCGAGCTAACGTCACGGAGTCATGCGACCAATGGCGTGAGAGTACGGTTTTATCTATTTCTTAGGAAAACGATTGACCACCAAACGTTTTAATGACAATATTCGTGACCATCAAACGATTCCGCGTCGATTGAGCCCTATCAAAGTCAATTTGGGTGACAAATACAATTTTTCTGACTAATGGCACAGTACGTGGTGATATGTCCAGCATTATGCGCATACGATTTTTTATATTTTCTGGGAAAACGCTTGACCACCAAACGTTTTACCGATGATATTCGTGACCACCAAACGATTCCGCGTCAAATGAGCTATAAAAAAGTTAAATTGGTTGAAAAATAAAAATTGTCCGGCTAACTTCACACCGGAAATTTCATTTTTATTTTACAGGAAAACGACTAACCACCAAACGATCGGACTAGACTACCAAAGACCACCAATCGATTCCAATTAATGAAAGTTCGATACGTTGAAGTTGTCCGGCCAACGTCCGGCCAAACGTTTTCAACGTTTTGGCTTAATGTGGCGCATTCGGTTGTCAAGACTGGCATTGATGTATCTAAAACCTGGCAACTCTGGTGACAACCACTTGCCAGTGTTGTCAAAACTGGTAACTTTTCAAATGCGTCATCTAACAAGTGTATTCAAGATACTATAACAATAATCGTTATCTAATAAAACTCTTGATTTTCGTTATCTGAAATCTGTCATAATTATAAAAATTAGAAAGTTCGGCATAATTATATTTATATATTTTTATTAATAATGTTAAACAGAAGCAATAGTTTAATGTCAACTGATTTAATTATGTTCTGAGTGTATCGTACAAAGATAAATTCTAAGACTTTTATGTTCTTTATCGTTTTGCTAGCTCTTCATAAATCAACGTTCTTGACGAAAAACATGTAAAATCTGTCATTTAATAAACGCAATTATATAAGACTCGTGGTTAATGCTTTAAAAATTTAATGGAAAACATATACATAATATTTACAAGTTTTAAGCATCTCTCGAAATAAAGGATTGTCGAAAAAAAAAATTGCAGTCTGGTGTAACGACGGATCAAGTCCAAAATCATAGTTACAATCGGAACATTTGTGGGCACAGATCACGTATCTCATTCGTTATTACAATCATTTTTTCCCAGATTTTTTTATACCACCAGTGACCAGAGGACCCTTCTGACTGGCTTTCTTTGCTGCTTCAGCCAGCGCTTTCTGCGCTTCCTTTTGTTTTTGCTTAAACGCTACGTCCTCTTCATCTAAAACCTTGGATTCCTTCTTCGGTGCCTTCAAGGGCTTCTTCTTACCTCCGTCCCGGCCAGACATTCTAAAGTACACAAAAATTCATCACACGTGTCTGATTACACTGTTTAAAAAAAATTATTTTTTTTAGCACAAGAACGAGAATGATCATTTCTTATAATAACTCATTGAACGCTGAATACGATCCAGCTGTTTGTCAACTGCAATTTTCTCAAAATTATGATGTGATAAAGCAATTTAGCAAACGGAATCATATTCAACATCTAAAAAGCTATAAGAAACGATTATTCTCGTTCTTGTGCATTTTTTTTGTTGAGCAGTGTTATCTTTTAGAAATAATACAAAAAAAAAATAACTGACAACAAACATTAAATCGATATAACCTCTGCCGAAACGGGAAGCAATCAAATCACAAAAGAGTTTAAATAAAAATTATTCTATAATAAGCTATAAAGGCGTTAATTATAATGTTAACACAAAATTAAATCCACAAGTTATCCAATGTTTAGAGAATACTTCAAAATTATAGATGCGATATATTCATAGAGAGAGCAATACGTATACTACGCGAATACCTCTCTTATGACTACGGGATTCCATTCCATCAGTATTCGAGCTCTCGACTTACTTGCAGCTGTACTAAATTTCCAAACTGGATTGCGAGGTACAAACGATAGACGGTAGATTCGGAAATTCGTTCCGGGTGAAGGTTGACAAAATGTTTACGCGGTACGACGAATTTTTCTCAAGCTGATCGTACAGATTGTGCAGATTGTGCTGCCGCGGGCCGTGAATTCCGAAGCTCGACGACCTCAGGTCTGTTTCTTGTAGCTGAATCTTCTGTGTAATGTATGTATGTACATGCATACATACGTAGAGACCCTCAAATACGTATTTTTCTATTCTTTCCTCTTTTATCTTTTTATCTAATCAGAATTCAGGTTGGAATTCTACTTGTCGTAGACTACAAAACGTCTGAAGAATGCACACACAGATATGTTAAAATGTACGTACATGTGCAAATGCACAAAATACATGGCAAACCAAATTGTAAATGAAATTCTGTCCTGATTCGTCTAAAGCAAGCTTTGCATGCGACTTTCATCTTAATTCCAGAAAATGTGACATAATTGTAAAGAACAGGCCTACGATGCCTTGTGACTTTTATATAAATAACGTCGGATTATTTAGAAAAAACCCGAAGATTCGTCTGATTGCGATACGCGGTTTGTAATAAACAAAAGTCTTATTTGAAATTGGAGGATTCAATACAATGCTGTTCAATCTTATTGTTAGCGGTGGACATGCACGTAAGTTTTATTGTATACATATTTAATAGGTATCATTTTTTATATAACAGCGAATTCGATCGAAGCGGTTTGAACTTGGGAGCAAGTCCTTTTTTCGTCACATTTGATTGATAAATGATATCATTGATAAATATATCCATGTCTAAATATTTGATTGATAAATATATCCATGTCTCTGAATTAACACTAGACCCAGCAAACACAGAATACACCGAGTGCGTAATTTGCTATTAAATGTGTTTGCTGGGAGAATTATCGGAGATTAAACTATATTTATTTCTTCCAAAGAAATCTTAGAAAAGAAAAAGAGAAAAATTAAAAAAATTAATTAATATCTATAGGGAATTTTAATAAAAGTCATGGAAAATTTCTGAAATCAATGTTTTAAAAATTATAATTAGTAATAAATTATTTAAAAATGTCAAACGGATTATTTTGACCTCCTTAGTAGTTCTAGTATTAAAATGCAGAAGTTATAGCGAATTTAGTTGAACGCATTAGTGCGCTGGTGGATATTAAAACCGTTGCATGTACTTTTTATCTAATCTAAAAGTGAAATGCAAATATCTCTACTGATAAAATGCCCAATACATATTTTACCAAACAGCACAGTAAAGGATTGTATTGAGGATTTTACAGTTTAATCCGTTTATATATGTATATTTATATAAACATCTTTACGTCAATTTGTGTACTTTAATGTGCATCAGTGCGCACTAGTGCATCCAACCGAGTTGGCTATTTAGATATTGGGCCAATTCCTTTTAAGTGACACAAGTCGACACAAACATCATTCTATCCTTTTTGGCATTTAATGAATAATAAAGACAGAACGACACTAGTGTCGACTTGTGTCACTAAAAGGAATTGGCCTATTATTGAGAACATGAGAACGATATTAATATATTCTCTACTCTTCCGTTTTGTCCAGAAGTTCGAGCGTTGGTAGCATTGATGTCATTATAGGAAACCTAATGCTAAGACTCCATAAACGCGGAAATGCCGTGCGGTAGAGTGCGTTAACCAATCAGAAGGCTGTCGCAAGTCGCCTGCAGCAAAATCAAAATTTGCGATTGGTCAACGCACTCTGCCGCATGGCGTTTCCGCGTCTATGGAGTCCTAGCATAAGTCCCATAGCTTAAAAGTTTCTCTCCTATATCTTTTATTATATGCATACATCACACGTGAAAGGTTTTTCTTTCTTCTTCTTACATTTTTCAAGAAGTAAAGAAGTCTATCAAAAAGAATGACTAAAAATATCGGGCATCTTTATGGGAGCGTTTCCTTTAAGAATTACAAAACAGAATGGTGGGGGAAAGATATTCGAATGAATGGCTCAACTCGCTCGACCGTTAGTGTTTGCTAGTTGGTTGGCTTCGCGGTAATCAGTAGAGTGGTGTTAGAGCAAATAGAGCAAGCAAATAAGTTGACTTGAGAAGATCATTGAAAAATTTAATACGTGGCGATCAACATTGAAGCAATTTAGACCTTCCGTTCACGTAACTAACATGATTATTAGTCTATTTAAGGTGATCCTAAAGCCGTGATCCTAGCCGGTTTTTTTCGGTTTTTTTCTTAGCACTAATCTTTTAATTGGCTTTATAGAAATGCAA